TCTTTCCCTGTCACTTTCTGCCTGTGGGAGAGATTAAGAAGAAAGGAAGAAAGTAACAGCATGCTCATGGGTTTTGCATGTGCTTATGAGAAACTGCAGCTGCTACAGCACCTCTGTGCCCCTTTCCAGGAAAGTCAGCCCAGACTAGTCTTGAGAAGTCTGGAAAGAGCCTTTCTTTGTAGACAACCTGTTGTGTTTTAGCCTGGCTGGATGCCAGCTGCCCACCAAAACCGCTCTATCATTCCGCCTCCTCAACTGGACAATGGAGAAAAAAAATCATGAGAGGCTTGTGGGTCAGGATAAGGACAGGGAGAGATCACTTGCCAATTACCATCACAGGCAAAACAGACTCAACTTGGGGAAACAAGTTGAATTTGTTACCAATCAAATCAGAGTATGACAATGAGAAATAAAACCAAGTCTTACATCACCTTCCCCTCACACCTCCCTTCTTCCCAGGCTCGACTTTACTCCCAAATTCTCTGCTTTCTCCCCCCAAGCAGTACAGGGGGACAGGGAATGGGGGTTGCCGTCAGTTCATCACATGTTCTTGCTGCTGCTCTGTTTTGGTTTAGCCTGGATAAATGCCAAGTGCCCACAAAAATCACGCTATCACTCCCGCTCCTCAACTGGACAGGGAAGAGGAAATATAATGAAAGGCTCGTGAGTGGAGATGAGGACATGGAGAGATCACTCACCAATTACTGTCATGGACAAAACAGCCTGAACTTGGGGGGGAAAAGGAAGTTTAATTTATCACCAATAGAAGCAGAGTAGGATAATGAGAAATAAAACTACATCTTAAAACACCTTCCCCCACCCCTCACTTCTTCCTGGGCTCAACTTCAGTCCCGTTTCCCTTCCTCCTTCTCCAGAGCAGCAAAGGGGGATGGGGGAAGGGGGGGTGTGGTCAGTTCATCACACGTTGTCTCTGCCGCTTCTTCCTCCTCAGGGGGAGGACTCCTCACACTCTTCCCCTGCTCCAGCATGAGGTCCTTCTCACGGGAGACAGTTCTCCACAAACTTCTCCAACATGAGTCCTTCCCATGGGCTGCAGCTCTTCATGAACTGCTCCAGCCTGGGTCCTTCCCATGGGGTGCAGTTCTTCACAAACAGCCCCAGCATGGGTATCTTCCATGGGGTGCAGTCCTTCAGGAACAGGCAGCTCCAGCGTGGGTCCCCCGTGGGGTCACAAGACCTGCCAGAATACCTGCTCCAGCATGGGCTCCTCTCTCCACAGGTCCGCAGGTCCTGGCAGGAGCATGCTCCAGTGCTGGCTGTCCACGGGGTCACAGCCTTCTTCAGGCATCCACCTGCTCTGGTGTGAGGTCCCTTCCACAGGCTACAGGTGGATATCTGCTCCATTGTGGATCTCCATGTGCTGCAGGGGGACTGCCTGCCTCACCATGGTCTTCATCATGGGCTGCAAGCGAAAAGTCTCCACTCTGGCATCTGGAGCAGTTCCTCCCCCTCCTTCTTCCCTGACCTTGGTGTCTGCAGAGTTATTTCTTTCACATACTCTCACTCCTCTCTCCTGCTGCAGTATTGCCATTACCCAGGGGTTTTTTTTCCTTCTTAAATATGCAGATGACACCAAATTGGGCAGGAGTGTCAATCTGCTCAAGGATAGGAAGGCTCTTCAGAGGGATCTGGACAGGCTAGATTGATAGGCCAAGGTCAGTTGTATGAGATTCAACAAGGCCAGGTGCCAGGTCCTGCACTTGGGTCACAACAACCCCATGCAACACTACAGAATGGGGGAAGAGCGGGTGATCGTGTCCCTGTTTTCAGCACTGGTGAGGAAGCACCTCAAATACTATGCTCAGTTTTGGGCCCCTCACTACTAGCAGAACACTGAGGTGCTGGAGCATGTCCAGAGAAGGGCAACGAGGCTAGTGAAGGGTCTAGAGAACAAGTCCTATGAGGAGCAGCTGAGAGAGCTGGGGCTGTTTAGTCTGGAGAAGAGGAGGCTGAGGGGGGACATTATTGCTGTCTACAACTACCCAAAAGGAGGTTGTAGTGAGGCAGGTGTCAGTCTCTTCTCCCAGGTGTCTAGGAATAGGACAAGAGACAATGGCCTCAAGTTGCATCAGGGGAGGTTTAGATTGGACTTTAGGAAATATGTCTTTACTGAAGGAGTGGTCAGACGTTGGAACAGGCTGCCCAGGGAAGTGGGGGAGTCACCATCCCTGGAGGTGTTCAAAAAACATGTAGATATGGCACTTCAGGACATGGTTTAGCAGGCATGGTGGTGTTGGGTTGACGGTTGGACTTGATAATCTTAGAGGTCTTTTCAATCTTAATGATTCTATGATTCTATGATTCTACGATTCTGTGTTATCATAGAGGCACTACCACTGTTGCTGAGTGGTTCAGTCTTGGCCAGCAGTGGGTCTGTCTTGGAGTTGGCTAGCATTGGCTCTATAGGACATAGGGGAAGCTTCTAGCAGATTCTCAGGGAAGCTCTCCCGCTAGCAAAATCTTGCCACGCAAGCCCAGTACACAACCACAGAAGACCTGGCTGGATTTACACCCCCTCCAGAACCTTTCAGTTCTGCCCTGTGTTTCAAGCACTGTGCCCTTTTCCAGCTCTCTGGTGCTGCACAAATAGGTGGCCATGTCTGCAGCTGGTGGTGAGAGCACTTCCAGCAACAGCTGGTTCCTGGAGGGCTCTGCAGGGCTGGTGACTTGGGTCTGGAAAGATGACACAACGTGCTGGCATCCTGTGAGAGGATACTGCAACACTATATATTGCAGGTCTCCACCAGGAGTCTGATGGATCCAGTCCCAAGCATAGCTACTGTCAGTGAGGGGTACACCACACACGTGGCAGATCTCTCTGAGATCTTCCCTACCATGGGGCCAGAGGCCTCTGTGTGCACCTGAAAAACAGCACCTGCAGCCCTGGGAGACAAAGATGAACAGTCAGGAACAGCTCAAGCAATCATTTCATCTGCTCCACCTCTTCCCTGGGTTTCTGCCTGTGTTTTCTGGGATCCAGCAGCTGCAAACACACATGCTCACAACCTCTTGCTCCTATTATAATCTCAGATCCAGGAAAGAAACACACGAAAAGAAACAATCAACTCAGAACTTGACCATGGGAAAAAGGAAGGTAGACTGGTTGGAAAGTAGCTTTGCTTTCCAATGCAGAGTCCTACACCTCAGGAGGAATAATTCCACACACCAATATAGGCTGGAGAACTGCTGACTGGGAAGCAGCAGTTCAGGAAACAGCCTGGGGGTCTGATTACACTGAGTTAGCCAGCATGTGCCCTTGTGGAATAGAAGACTAATGGTTTCTTGGGCTCCATTAGAAGGAGTGTTATCAGCCGGTCAAAGGGATGATCCTTCCCCTCTACTCAGCACTGATGAGGCTACAACTGGAGTACTCACTCCATTTCTAGGCTCCCCACTACGAGAGACATGGACATCCTGGAAAGAATCTGGCAAAGGGCCATGAAAGAGACTGGAGCATCTGTCATATGAAAGAAGGCTGAGAGCGCTGAGATTGTTTACCCTCAAGAAGAGAAGGCTCAGGGAGGATCTCATCAATTCAGGACATTGATGAGATCTGATGGTATGGTGCAAAGATAGCCAGACCAGGCTCTTTTTCAGTGGTGACTAGTGATAGGAAAAGAGGCAATAGGCACAAACCGAAGCACAGGATGATCTGTCTGAAAATCAGGAAACACTTTTTCACTCTAAGAGTGACTGAGCACTGGCACAGATTGCCCAGAGAGGTTGTGGAGTCTCCTTCCTTAGGGATATTCAAAAGACATCTGGACATGGGCCTGGGCCACTGACTCTAGGTGGCCCTGCTTGAGCATGTGGGTTGGACCTTCCCAAAGAGTTCCATAAAGAGATTTTTACAAGAATGTTGACGAAAACTCACTTTCCTCTTTTGGCTTGAAGTTTCAGTCCTGGAACTCAAGAGATAAATATGCAAGTGATGCAAAAGTAATATGGGTGGATAACACAGTAGCACACAGAGGAGCAAGGAGAGCTGTTCACCATGGTGGCTTGCTGTATTCATGGCATCTGCTGTATTTATGATGTGTGGTCCTCTGTTAGATTGTATAGCATATTCTACTTCTGTGAAGTTCAGGCACAAATATGTTCTTATGTGACAAGGTTGCATGACTACTTACATAAACACAGAGCCTGGCTTTGGAAGGATGGGGAATTCTTTCCCATTTGATGGGTTGACTTCCAGGAGCCTGAGAGGCCAACTGCTTGACACAGCTTGTTGCTGGAGGCAGGGTTCCTAGATAGAGTGGGGGGGATAGGAGAGAATTCAACTGGAAAATGATTTGTTGAGGCTTGCCATTTCCCCCTGACAGCCACCAAGAGGCAACTGCCAGAGGATTGCAGGGGGCACATGGTAGCATGTTGGCAGCACACGAGGAGGAACAACTAGAGATCTTCATCCAGTCAGAAACCCAAGGATGCAAGAGTACTCCCAAAGCATTTCCAGACCCCAAAGCTGTCTCTTAAAAGCTCTGGCTGGCCATCAGGCCTGATGCTGTCCTTTCAGGCTCCCCAGAAAAAGGGTGTAAGAAAGGGAAACAAAATAGGACCCAGTTTTGCTCACAGGAGTTGAGGCTGTAATGAACCCCTGGATAAGGGCTATTTTAATGCTCCCGCTTTAAGCAGGATCAACCAGAGTAGGTTTACTAGATCTGGTTGGGATGGATTCACTTTTCTTCATAGCAGCCTGTATGGGCAGCTGCTATATTTTGTGACCAAAACCATGTTGATAACACACTGATGTTTTAGCTGTTGCTGAACAATGCTTACATGGCATCAAGGCCTTCTCTGTTTCTCACATTGCCCCACCAGCTACACAGTTGACTACAACTGGCCAAAGGGATATTCTATACTGCATGATGTCATGCAAAGCTGTCATGTTTTATCCCCAGCCAGCAAGTAAGCACCACACAGCCACTCACTCATTCCACTTCCAGAGGGGTAGGGGAGAGAATCAGAAGGGTAAAATTGAGACAACTGGTGGGTTGAGATAAAGACAGTTGAATAGGTAAAGCAAAAGCTGCACATGCAAGCACAGCAAAATAAGGAATTAATTTATGAATTCCCACTGGCAGGCAGGTGTTTGATCACCTCTAGGAAAGCAAGGATTCATCATGCTTAACAGTTACTTGGAAAGAAAAAATGCCGTAATTCCAGATGTCCCCCCTCCCTTCTTCTTTGCCCAGTTTTTTATTGCTAAGCA